GTGGGGGGGGGGGGGGTTACTAAAATGTATAGACATATTCGAAGGCGTTCCAAATATTAGACCTAAAATGTGACTGCCAATTCTGGATCAAGCAAATTGGAAGAATGTTAGCATTATAGACCTGCTCTCAGAAGATATTTGATTTTAATCTTCCTGTCTACAAAATGGCAGGATATGACCTGCAAACAAACCAAGCCCTTATCTAATCAGTATATAATTTCAACTTTTGACAAAATGTCTTTACATTACCTAAGAATCAGTCACGCAAACCTGGAATAGGCATTTGAGATTCTCATGGCAGTGAAAATTATGATGTTATTCTTTTAAGTTATGATGCTGTGTGGACTCGCTGGAGACACCAATTGTCTGAAGAAACATATTTCCTCCATCTTCAGCGCTTAAGAGAAGCCATGAAGATGAAACTTTGGTGTCCACCTGCCAGTCCACATGTCATCAATAACAAGAAATTTGTTGTTTTAAAAATTATTTTATTTTGTTACAGCCCAAAATGGTTTTAGTCTGAAGAGAGAATGTGGCCTGGGACCATGTGGGTTTGAAGATACAAATGTAATGCGTGGCTTGGGGATGGACACATGTGACAGAAGCAAAGACGAATACTTCTGCATCTTCTGCTGTACACAGAATGGCTGTAATAAGGCAGCAGGAGGCATCAACTGGCCTTCTGCCAGCTTGTTGGCAGCAATGGCTGTGCTTGTCACGTGTGTGTGTGTGTCAACATATGGGATGTGAAAATGCAAATTAACAAATGGAGGAGGCTCGTGTCAATTTTAAGTTTGTTGTAAATACCCCATTCATTCTCATAGTGACAATTTCTCTGCATGTCTTTCTACAAGACGGGCAAATCTGAGGGTATATTTACATAGGGGTGCCCATATCATTAGATAAAAAGTCACCGTGAGTGAACTTTGAAATTCGGTCAATTCCATTAATGTGGCTTCAGTAACAATACTAGTTATATACACCAAGTAATGCGGCATAATCCAAATACAGCGTGGAAAACAGACGTGAGACCCTGGTAAATACGTGAACTTTCTGGTGGAAATTTAATTTCTATCCCTGCTTTTGAAAACAATTTGTTTCTGTTGCTAACCCATACTTGTCTCCTGCACTGTTGTCAAAATTAACATAACAAAGTGGAAGACGATGTATTAACATAGTTTTTCATACAGGTAAGAAACAGTGCACAGTAAAACAATCATAAGAACCAATGACATTGCAATCTGGCAACTAAATTTACCTTAGCAGTGCAAAAGATTAATGCTAAAAACAACATTAGATTTTCTACTATATAGCAGATCAAATTCAGATGTTGCTTAGGTACCCCTGATTTACACTGTAAGAAACATATAAGTGAGAGTAACATAAGCATAAACATAAATATTACATCAATATACTTTTATAACCTATGAAGAGAAACATACTTCAATTATGTAGATATATAGTGTCAAGGGAAATTATTAAATTATTGAATTTTCATCCCATTAGATAAAATGAAAATAAATACAGTCCTTCCTGATTTCTTGCATAGCCAAACACTCAGACTCTGGATATAACAGTTTGTGATACAAAGTCGTGAAATGATAGCAGTATTACTTGGTAACAGCAAGTTTTTAAATTGTTTAACATGGATCAAAAACATATGCACTGCAATTACCTGTAATTTAAAAAGAATTCCAAAATTACATTTTCCATATTGACATCTTGATCTGTTAGTGAAGCCTTTTCTATCTGTTAGAATTCAGTAGTTTTCAATTTTGTTTAAAAATTCTTTAGTGTGAGTACAGAAATTCTGAATTTCCAGTGATCTGAGAATATCTTATAACATATTTTATAATCACAAAGTTTTGAGTCCAAAATTTCTCATGCAAGATCTAACATGTGGAATTGCAATATTCATGCTTATAATTGCTTCAGCATTAATTTGCTTACAGACTACTTCGACATCAGCAATAATTACCCCAAATCATTCTATAATTATACTGTCACTATATTGAGAAAAATGTGTAAATAAAGTTTACTGAAAAACAGGTAACCATTAGATGGAGTCCCAGATGTGAGAAGTTTAGAGATCATTCATTATGTACATATGTATAGTTAGAGGTCCTCCAAAAGAGCAGGAAATGCAGTCATGTCAGTGTGATAGGCCAATGAAAGTTCTCATTTCTCTCTACATTACTATTGGTGTGTGCTACAGTACTTTGAAGGGATTTGTCTGAGAGTGATGTCAGTGATTCTCAACAACCATCAGCCCCAGAATTAAATCATCATCATCTTCACTTCAGGGACTAGAAGTATTTCCTGTTCTGACTTCAGTCTCTCATCACTTAGATGTTTAACCCAAATCCTTTTGGTCTATACATAAATCAAATTAAATATTAACTAAATTTCGTAGTTCACATGCTTTAAGTTATGAAAAAACAGTTGGTGTGTTTGTGTGTGTTTACCGTTGATGTTATACATATCTTTCAGAAACAACTTACTATAACACATAATTCTACTTTTATGCTTGGCTGTACTGAGAATTATTATTAAAAATAAGTGTCTAGAAACTGAAATCAGTATTTTATATGCCTTTCATTATTAAAAAAGGAAAATGTCTTCCTTAAATATTAAAAAATAAATATATATTTTATCTGATTTCCTGCACTGTAGCAAAGAATTTTAATACTTGCAAGAGATAGTTATATAAAAAATATCTGGCTGAATGTATCTACTCAAGTGTTTATCTAAGAAATATAACTCATTTAACAAAATTTTGCCCCAAACAATTTTGTCAACATTTGCATAAGCAGATTCTATGTTCAGTCAATTGGAAATGTCACCATTTAAAATGAAATGTGTGGTTTGTGCAGTAACACTAATGTGCATCATAATTGAGACTGTTTCTTCAAAATATCATAAAACAAACACTGTAGAGCTTAGGATTAAGCATAAAGCCAGCTTACAACGAATTAATTTTGTAAGATAAATAATTAGATTCAAGTTGATCCAAATTTAGCAAACACATCACGGAAATTTATATTTTCCATGCACATCTATTAAATCAACTATAAATGTTATTTTTTAAATGTATTTTATATAACAAAATCTTTATAGTAGAATCCAATTCAACTGGCAATAATTAAAATGCATATTCATTTGTTTGGAACTAAAGACTTCTTCCACATGATATAAGATGCTATACACATGTCAAATAGCTCTGAGTTTACAGAAACCAAAACTGAGCATATTTTACTACTAATAATGCACAAATTAGTAATTTACCTTTACCATCCTTGTATCATGGTTTATGTGTAGTCCAGCTGGTCATGTCACACTAGCATACTGCCAAACCAATAACCTCAAAGTTAAATTATGACCTGCAGCTCCATACTGTGAGTGAAATCCCTAATTACTGCATGATAAAGAGGTTAAGTAATAACTCAGGTGGTTTCTGCCACTGAACTCCATTGACTACAATAAAAATAGACTGTCCTTGCTGGTTAAATTTGCTTCTATTATAGAAAATATAGTTATAATGCTCTGAGAGCTTAACATTTCCATAAACTTCTGTATGATAAATATTATGTTTAAGATATTAAGCCATAACACAGAATAATAAGATTTTCCAATGTAAAAATGCATTTTCTAATTCTAATTGTGATTTATGTTCGTTACTTACTGTTGTCAATAATGATACTTTTCTACAACTATAGAAACTCTTCATGATTATCAAGTGACTAAAATTCTGTATGTCCACAATATTCAAAACTTATGTTGTGGTATGTGTGCAATAAAGCTATTTGTCGCTTTGTTAGCATAAAATGTAGTTCTTATTAACCATTCTCAACAAGTTACAATTTAACAATGAAGTGAGACTTTACCATTTTAAAAAAACTTGTGGCCATTTTCACCTAATATTTCAGGTACACCATATGCTTTTTAAGTACTAAGTTTAAAGGATAAAGACGGTATATTTTTTGTTTCCTTTCCTGTAAAGCAATAAGGCACAGAATTAAGACATTTGGTGACTGTTTCAAATGGCCATGTGAATGAAACTACTACCTTTCTCAATTTATTCCTCTGGAAAAAATGAGAAGTGTGAACAAGGAAGAAGAGGTGGTCATCTGTAATGAAAAAATAAACAAAACAATAAGATTTTCAGTTTTCGTGGCAGTGAAAATGTGGACTGTCTTCTTCTTATTACAAGGAATTTACAATCTCCATCTCCAGGGTACACCACCACACAGTGTCATAACTCAGAAGATCACCATCTTCTATAATAATTTTCAAATAAAGTACAGTAACTAAGGCTTTTTGGATTAATTTTTTCTCTCCAAATTTTAGATCTTTATGTAAAGGAATTTTGACAGGCAAAACAAAACAATAATTTCATTGAGGCATGTTTCATCTACTGAATTATACAAAATAAAACTTTTTCTGTTTTCAGATGCTTACCAATATAATATCATTTTACACTCCCAAAGTAGCTCCTAACTTATTATCTCCTAATTGTAGATGATTACAACTTATTTTAAGATTGAGAAAAAGTATGGATATTTGCTGTATCAGCTATGAAGTTATCTTACTTTACATGAAACTGAAATTAATCTAGAACAATTTCATAAAAGTTCAATGTGGCTTGTAAACTGAAATGTGAAACCAAACAATTTTACATTGACAGCATTATGACTAGTGATGGTATGAAAACTTCTGCCAGCTATGGATCTGTAATGCATTTACTTCCATGCTCGTCACACTCAACGCTGCTTTACGTAACTGGCCAACTAAAGAATATTTTCATAAAATAGAACATTTACTTCCATGCTCGTCACACTCAATGCTGCTTTATGTAACTGGCCAACTAAAGAATATATTCATAAATTAGAGGAACAAAATGCAGACAGACAGCCATTTCAGCACCCAACTCTGGTTTGGATATTTGAGATGGGGCAGGAACTGAATATAGTAATCTATTAATGCAACACGTGTTGAAATAAAATTGACTTTTTACTATGTACAAAATAATATATACCCTCATGACACTTGAAATGGTCTAATGTGAAAAAGAATACAGCACTACACTTACATTATGAAAGTTTTATTAGGCCAATATATAATAGTTTGCCTTCCATTCCTACATGTAATCTCAAGCAAAATCCCTTAACATTTTAAATTTATAAATTAAAGTAATAAGAAAAACTGTTGAAATTGTGATTTTATTGAATTTAAGTCATTCAGTTTCACATGAGACCAACGTAATGTACCGGAGCAAACTTGCACTGTACACAAAATAAAGACAAGAGTTTGTACACCAAACCTTGTAAAATCTTACCACATCCTGAGCAAGACTTTCTTCACAGATTGCTGATTCTCGTCCCTGTTTCATTTGTAAATAGAGACATATTTATCTTTAATCAAACAAGGAAAGGGATGGTAGAAAGCACGAGTGTAACAAAATATCTTCTCTCTCAGATAAACGTACATGACCTTAGATGCAGAGGCAGGCAGCACCATCTATATTGTAGTACACTTGTATTTCCCTTCAAACATGCATCAAATAAGATCTAACACTTGAGAACAATCTGTTTACATTTTGCACTTTTATTACATCTGGATGAAATACAGGTTTTAAAATTTATTTTTAATTCTCACTTTTTTCCATTATTTGTAACGAATCGAAGAGTTCATGGGGGACGGCAGAGAAAAGAATCACGAGTTCTTTTTAACTAGTAATGAGGAACAGGAAAACCACAAAAATGTCTGTTAGGTTAACGTGTTCCTCAATTGAAATGCACATACAAATGATACACAAAAGAGTAAAGCCGCTATCATGAGACAGGATGGAGAATCTATCAAAAAACAAAAAAAAAAATCTTCATGTAATTAAAAAAATACACACATACATAATTTCAGATTTTTGTATCAGTATTAAAATTTTCTGTAAATTTTGTTGGTATTACAGAATATACAAATAAAACATGAGCCAGGCTAATTCAGTCACCATAGTGTCTGATTAGGAACTGGACAACTGGGGTTTTATCCCCGGCAACCAGACCAGCTCTGGGGCCCACCCAGACTCCTATCCAATTGGTACCAAGGGGGTAAAGCGCGGCTGGGAATGCCACTACTCACCACCCCATCTATTTCAAGGTCAAAAATTGAGTAAGAGGTACGCCTCATCTCTCCCCCCAAGCACCACCATGGCTTTCAGTTATTATACTTTAATACAATTTAGCTGTCATTAGGCAAATCATTTAAATCATCGAAGACTTTTTAAAAGACACCCTTCCTCCACGTGTACATATTTGATGGGAAGTAAGCCTGCAACATCTCAGATATATCATATATCTGTTTGGACAGAACAACTTGAATTGCTGTAGTATATTATTTTATATACTTCATTTATATAAAAAAAAACTTTACAAAATATGGCCATGTTTTACTCTCGTGAAGATTGTTATGCAATGAATAAAATTACTGTCACAATTAATAAAAATACATCAAGTAACCAACACGTTACTTCACCGCTTGAAGAAATGCTGAAATGTGAACAGCTTGTTCTCCAATACAAATCTGTCAATGTTTGACGATCTGTTGCGTGCAACTTTCTTTAGAAACATTTAACAACATGAACATTATTATGAATATAAGATGGAATAGAAATACTTCAAAATATAAGCCTTATTTACAATCAACAAAATAACAGAGATGTTAACATACACAGCACTTGAACTCTAAAATGTATTTGTATGTACAAAATGGAATGGTGATAGCATTATACCCAATGTCGCAAATCAGTATTTCGCTATTTCTTAAACTCTTAGAACATTTTTTAGACCTGATTAAAATACACTTTTTTAAAAATATTCTACAGGCAAAGAATGATTTCTTCTGTTGGGGAAGAAGAATAATAAATAAAAATTGAGGCACTACATTTTGCACATCACATTGATATGAATAGGGTGACTGGTTGATATGGTACTGAAAAACATACAATACCATACAGAAATGAAGATGATGTTGGAAACACACATATATGGAACTCAAAAACCCTCAATCATTATGCGTCATCATTGATAATCTTTTTGGGTTGTGTTTAAAATTCTGTGTTAGAGATTTAAACACATAAAAGGATGGAATTTGATAGAGGGATCTTGATTCTGTTAAGCTCATGGAACTCTTAAAAGAGGTGGCAATAAAGACTTTATCTTATGAACTTATATTTTTAGCAATAAATTAGTTTGAAAAAATGTCCTCTTAATATTTATGTCTCATGAAAAATTTTATATCTTAATTGAATATTAATTTATTTTATGTAATGAGATTCTTTTGATAAAGTAGTTACCCAGAATCCCTAACTTGTGATTTCATTATATATTACCAGCTGACCAAAATATATTTATATGCAGAGGATATTTATTTTAACTTGTATAATTCATATATTTTCATAAAACATAAACAGATAAATTAAAATATGAAGAATCTGAGTAGAGACACAAGACAACGAGACAATTAAAAAAATGTTGAAATTAGAGTTTCGATTGCTACCTCTCGAAGCAGAGACAATACTGTATTTTATAGACACTGCATCATAAAATATGATAACATTTCATTTATGCGAAAGTGTGCAGAATCTGTAACTTATTTTCAACTGAATTTTTTACCTAACGAATGAGACCATTGGAAATTACTTTTTATCGATGATTCATACTTTGACTAGAGAGTGAACTGTATTTACTGATGGTATCAAGAGGTGATTATTACATAAGAACTGATAAAAGAGAATGTGATCAGTCATACAGTGCTCTAAAATATGGAAAGAAGAACTAAGTAAAACCAAGAAAGGTGAAACTTCATAAATTGCGTGCAAAGTGATACCATCACCTTGCAGTCTCTTCCGCACGCACGCGGGGATCCGACACTTTCAAACAGGAGACAAATCATTCTATAGAGAATGGAATACGAGATGATGATAGTTCTGTTTCATCCGTGCACATAAAAATGTGACACTGTTTTCCAATTCCACTTCATGTATCATGCTGAAACAATTTTAAAATCACCGATAAAACCCGAGTCTTGATTATTATAGAATTTTCTAACAGGCTTTCGCAAACATGAATACTGATGTTAAGTGCCTGAAGCTCACAATTTTACTGATCTTTCATCGTTTAACCTAGATTCAGGTACTGAAGGGTTGGAATTTAAGAGATCTCGTGGCAGGAAGGGGATTGATCGCTCGGAACTTGTCATCGATATCGCCTGCACTGAACCTGTGGTGAAGTTGCTGACAGTTGAGCATCGCTTTCTGCTGTGGTTGCCAGAAACTTGGCGCTGGTGGGGGCTGGGAGATCCAGTCTGCAGGCTGGGTAGTGCTTGCAGAAGTCACCTTCTGACTGCAGTGATTTCTTATATTTACGATATTTTTGGCTGGGATTGTCATATCTGAGGGCTGCGATGTCATAACTGCTGACACAGAAGGAGAGGTTCTTTGGCCACCTAAGATGGCATAAGCATCCAAACCCAATATAAGCAACACACGATGAGGATTCTGCAAGACATACTGCTCAATGACGTCTACAAAATCATCTGTTTGAGTTTCCTTGTCCAGCATAAAATTTACATTGCTGCCCAATACAGGTTCACTGTTCTCCCAACAGAATATCTCGGGAGGATGAGATGAGCTGCGTTGCAGCATCACCATATTGCATTGATTTAGACTATTGTCAGGCAAGTTAGGATTTGAATGCGCTGGTATTGAGTATGGATATCGTGTCGCCATCGCACTGTTGCTCGTAGCAAGTCCCTGTAGTGCCTGAATAGCATTCCGTACCTGAAACACAGAGTCAAATACAAATAATGTAGCAAACTTCATGTTAGTTTCTGTAGATCAGTTCTACATCGGAAACATTGTATTTTTAATGAATATATATTTAAAATAATTGCGAATAGATAATATTGTTCTGGAGAAAATTTAATGGTCTCGACACACGTTCAGATCCGTAAATGAAAAACATCTTGAATCTTAAGTAACTGAAATTTCATCATATTACATTACATTATATTTTAATTTCTAAAAAAATGTACATTACACATACAACCAGAAATATCACACAATTTTTTAACTTCTTTATATTTTTCTTGTTAATTAACTAAGTTGTTCCAGAAATATCACACAATTTTTTAACTTTTTTATATTTTTCTTGTTAATTAAGTAAGTTGTCAAGAGATTCCTCATCTATCATGGAGCCTAGAGTTTCCTTTCTGTATTTACAAAAGCTTGCCACTGGACCATAAAAAACAAGAAATAAACTGTGGAAAGATAAATGAATGAAAAAGAAACTTAAACTATTACGCTGATATTAAGTGAATTCAAATTTAAATATGTGCATGATAAAATTGGAATAAAAAACTTTCTGTATTTAGATGAGGTACAACCGGAAGTCTGATAAGTGTAACACAGAACCAACTTAAGTGACTTTTATTTTTGTAATAAGATTACAAAGTTCAGTGAAATGTACCTCTTGGCTGAGCGTTGCTACATCTTGGTGCAAAGATGACACTTGGGTGTCCAGTCTCTCCACGCTACTACGGGTTTGTTCCACCTCTCCTCTCAGTTCAAGGTTCAGTCCTTCCAGCGAGCCCGTGTTCTGATTGCTACTCAGTTGGATGTTTCGCTGTTGGTCTCTCGTTCCACCGCCACGGGTCCGTCCTGAGTAGCCTCGTAATTCTTGTAATCTGAATGAAGGACAAATTTTGTTTTGTTTCTGGAAATCACATTATGTTAAAAAATAACTGGAATCATAAAATGATGCATCAGAATAGATGCACATGGTCAGCTAGAATTATCTGTAACACACATGAATACACATAGGAGAGTAAAATTATACGTATACTTGTACGTAGAGATAAGGTATTATATGTATGACAGACACACAACTTTTGAATTTATAAACATTTCATGTAATGAGCAGTATTGTGAATTTGTAATTTGGACCTGTAAGGATTGCTGAGAAGCTCAGAATAGGGCGCAGATGTGGGGTATCGTGAACAGTCTGAAATTTAAAGTCGTCATGACGATGAAGGTGTCGATTGTGGTATTCTTTGTTGCGATGCCGCCCCCCCCCCCCCCCCCCCATCTTCAGTATTGAAATCAGTTAAAATGGAAGTGATCAATGGAACAGGAAAAAGAAGGGAGAAGTTTAAAAGAATTGGTTAAAGTGACTGAGAGGTCATTCAGAGTGAAACTCGTTCTTAGGTCCTAATAAGGGTCAATTTCTAAGGCAGAAAATGTGAAGAACAAATGGCAAAGGGAAATATGAGGACAGAAAGTGGTCAATGGGTATAAAATTGTATCGTAGCTTACACCACATCACAAATTTCCTGATCCGATGATACAACAGGGCGCCCAACCTGGATATGGAGATCTCAGTTCAATTACAATTTAAGTTATCTTCGCTACTAAACCAAGTGACCCCACAGATCTGACGACCACTTTCCTTTATTGCCTTCATTACCTGGGGTTGGACTTGCCGTGCCGAGGACTATTTGCGGCATGAAGAGGTGACCGGTTTGGAGGAGAGAGGGGAGATGTCTCTCCTTCTTCAGGTATGTTCTCGTCATCTTCGCTGATGGACGGAAGTGTGAGGGACGGTACCCCATTCATTTCTGACTCTTGCTGCAACAAACAAAATTAATTTTGTACACATTGTACAAACTTAAGTTAAATTAACTAAATTTTGACTGTATGAATATCAAGTACATTATTAACTTAGAATACTACGTGAACATTATGCTATAATAAGGCTTCCTAATCTCCCTTAAATATTGAATTATTTTACTCTAAATTATAATATTTCTCTTTTTGGTGAAATTACTTCAGCTGATCTCACACACTGACTGCCAGCCGAAGCTGTTCTTTAGTTCTGTGATAATCCACTCCTGACATCACAGTGCTATGAAACATGCTGACGGAGATCAAGAACAAAATATAGCAATCATGATTTGTGGTTGCTAGGGGTGATAAAAACAGCAACTGATAACTGGTGATACGTAAAGAATACAGGATCAATGGTGCCTCACATCATTCAAATCAGATTAAGTCTAGATTAAGTTCCAATATAACAGAGTTATGCTTTATCTAGGTTATGAAGGAAGGGTTTGGTTATCATAGATACTTCCCGTGATAAAAACTGTAACTCTTCAAATTTTCTGTCTTCAAAATCCGCTTGCAATAAGATGACGACCGGAAAACAATTTTACAAATCTTATAGTCAAATTGTAACAAGGAAGACCAACCACATTGAAATCCAAGTATTTATAAATGTACAGAATATTAATAATTTAATATAAAGTGAAATGAAAATTTGCATCAAATGTCTTTAAGCAGAAATGTTTCCTGATGTTAGTTTAGTCTTCCTTTTCCAGTCCAAAAACAAGTCTTCTAATAGTAAACAGTGCATTTCCAGTTCATTATAAGTAAGACCACGTGTCATTCATACTCCGAGTCTTACCTCAGCCTCGTATCCTTCTCGGAGGTTGTACGTGAGGTCGTGTTGGATGTCATTTGCAAACTCCTGCTGGTATTCTGGGTACAGTCGCAATACATCCACTAGACCTTGCATGTTGATACATTTTAGATCGCAGTAAGTGAGCGCCTTCACATCACAACTTGATTTTATGACAACATCGCCACTTCCACCTCCTCCCGAACCTCCTACTCCGCCACCGCCGACTATACCTCCGCTACCGGAGGATTGCAGGTACATACTTATGTCACAACCAAACAAATCACCCTTCCCTATAACATCGTAAGACACAAAGCATTATTGTTCTGAATATAGCCAATTTAATATCTTCGTTAAGCTGAACAGTTGGCCAAAGTGATAATAAATGCCAAATGCTGATGGCAATGAAAACTTAGTTTTGTGATGTCAGTAATTATTTTCCAAAATGTCATCTTCCCAGGTATTTCTGTGAACTACTGTACTCAAGTTACGAATCAGAGTAATGACTAATCTATTGTAAACGCAGAACGTACCCAAGATGGCAACGACCATACTATTCTGAACAACTTCCATGGACCCATTGCAGAGGTAGTAGATGTACTGAAGGGCATCTCCCTTGTGGATGAGGTACTCTCCGGGCGCACAGAAGTTGCTGCGAATGTGCAGAGACAGGAGTTTGAGGCAGCCCTGCGAAGCGCTTTCGAAGATAGGCAGCTGGAGAATTTCGCGGTGAAGGTGCATAGACACGTCGCCTCTGAGCTCCTCTGGGAATTCCTTCAGCGTCTATGATGAGAGGTGAAAAGCAGTGCCAAACGAACACGAAGACGGGTGGATATTTGCACGGGATAAGTGTCGGACATGCCGCTGTCATAATTGTAACAAATGCATTTAAAAAAAACTTGAAATATATACCAAAGTTTGGAAAATAATAAAATGTGATGTGGAGCAGTATGTCTGAAATGAGAGACAGTAAAAAAAAATTTTTTTTGGGGGGGGGGGGAGTCCACAAGGTCAAACATAAAAAAAACTAATATTTATAAATGTTTTGTAATAAACTTATTATGGAACACACCTGTTGGTAGTCGACTATGTGAATTAGATTCTGAATACACGTCTCTGTTACCGCACGTCTAAAGTCATAAGAGATTTAAGAAACAAACATTTTGAAAACATGTACCAGTAGGCAAAATTTCAGGTTTTCATGGCACTGAATATGAAGATGACTGTCTTCTGGGAAGTTGCATCATAATTTCAACCAGGCTACACGGTGCAACATCCAAGAAAACAATCATTTATATACCAGAAATTTAATGAACTGTGAAGGTAGTTGAAGACAGCCATCTTAATAATCATCAACATAAGAACCTGAAATTCCACCTAGAAAATACTAATTTGTAAAATGTCACTGGACCATAATTGGTCTACAAATATGAAACTATTATTGGCTACAAATGGTTCAAGAAAACTTGTTCTTGATATCTGACGTTCTTGCCGAGGTTCTAACCGGTTGTCAGGTGCTTAACACATGCGAACTTAGCAGGGTATCTCAGCGCTAAATGTTTGACCACTTACCAACATTCTGATATTGTGAAATTTGTTACAAGCAACTCACGTATTGTAAAGTTATATTTTATAATCAATGAAAGAGCATAAAGCAAACCAGATGTTACTGGATAAGCCCTCTGGCACAAATAAATTCAAAAGGGGGCAGATATATTAAAAACTGAACAAAATCTTGCGGAAAGAAGCAATAAGAGATTCGATACATCAGTCACAAACACACACAGAGAATAAAAAGCAGACCACTTACAACTACAAATTGCAAACATCGAGATGAACAAAAGGCAACTCGGCTCTAGCATTCCGATAAAATTATGAAATCTTAACATTTTTAAGTAATAAGAAAATAATTTTGTTATAAGCAAATTATGTTAGTGCAAAACAACAGATAAATGGTCCAATGATTATGAAGTCTAGGATCACGAACACAAAACAGGAAGGGGGCTGGTAATTTATATGCATTGACCTTGCTAAAGACCATTTGCTTTGCTTCGATTAAATTAACATCTTTTATAAATGATGAGTTTATTAACAAATGGCATTGCAACGTTGGGTATTGATGTTCATTGTGAATCAATTTTTAATTCCACCAATTATCAACACCTTTAAGGTTACTGAATTGAGCTGACAATCTTAAATGTGGACTTAATTGTACTGGTGACTTTTTTTTTTACATTTTAGACTTTGTACTTTGAACGTAAATTTACATAGCGTATGTTTCAAGCAGACTATGAGAACTACTATAAACACTGATAGTAAAATAGACTTAAATCTACAATCAACACACGGACAAATGAAACTAATGCTAACTGCACTGCCGGAAACCACGAAACACGTAAATGGCCGAGGTTATGAAAGCAGAACAATAAAAATGTATGCATTTATGGGTCATTTCAAAATCTGTATGTAAACTGAGTAGAATACTTTTCCCACAGTCTTAAAATTAATTAAATTCGTGTCATTTTATTACATAATCAGAAATTTCTTTAAAAATCCAGATTTACTGTGGTTTATATATAATTAACTAACTCCATGGAGGACAGTTTGAATTGAGAAGCTAACAGTCACTAACCTAATCAAAAGTTTTGCCATTTTTGTATGAAACTAGAAGGTTTGTTACAATGTGAGATTTCAAGTTTCCAACGCTCGAGAGACACTTAATGACGACGAAGGCAGCGGGCACCTATAAAACATCAGTCAACATCTACAAGACCACATGGCGGAACATTCTAGAAGACATCACCATGTTTACAGGAGTCCGACTGTGGACGCAGTCCGAAGATCCATGAGAAATGTATCAACGTGATAGTTTCTTACAGTGAGAGGTTCTTAGCCCCTTCCAGCTGCACAAGTTGAAGGACCACCCCTTGTTGACTGTCTACGACTACTTATTCCCTCAATACGGAGCTTGTCCTCTCAATCCATAACCTCAATCCACAGGCAGAACTGATATTTCAGTGATTATTAAAGTTGAAGCATAAATAATGTAATTACTTAGAAGGAAAATAAATGAAAGCCTCGTAATTGTATTTGGTAGACTCAGCGTGGAAGGCAAGCAAGGTCAATGCGTACGTCTGTTACTGGGATTACAATACACACCTCTCTCACCTCGTGAATGTCGATGCCATGGTTCAGCGACCACATGGTCTGGAAGTAGTCTTGCATCCTCTGCTTCATCTCTTTCGGAATCTGATGCAGAGTGAGAAAATCCTTGAGGTCTCGCCATTTGGTCTGATACAGGGATCGCCTCGAGTACATGCGTTGGATTATGGCGGTCACGTTACCGAACACGACGGCGTGCATCAGTGCTGTGACAAGTTGAGAAAATAACACAATTTAACCTGAAATAGGTCGTATAAGCATGTCGGATGGAGGTCTTGGTGGTTTATTGATGCATATTCCATTTTATTGCAAATTTATAAATAATATTTCAAAATGTGTTCATGTCTAAATAAACTTATAAGACTTGAAGTTTTCACTGTGACTGAATTAAATAAAAATCTTATTGAGCAACAAACCGTGGACAAAATCCCAGTCAAAATTGAAAATTTTCTTGAGAGAAGAGACATTCCAGTTGTTAGAATGACTTGCAGGAATGTCTTTGGCATTACAACTCGTGTCTCGTGCTTCTTTCAGAAGTAGCAGTCCTAATGCCATCTTAAGTCCACTCATAACCTATAACTGTGATCACTTACCTCCGATAAGCATGGTACAGATGCTGAATATCTTCTCTGAAGTGGTGTTTGCAGAAACATTACCAAACCCAACGCTGGTGAGGCTCGAACATGTGAAGTAGAGAGCGGTGATGTATGACTCGGAATGCGTTATGTTATTCACAGAAATGTTGAGCCTCTTTGCCATTGCGTGAATCCAACCTGTAAAGAACGATGAAACTCAGAGTCACTTACTACAACGTAATTAATCTTCTGTCCTAAATGAAGAATATTTTACAAAAATGATAATATGCCAATCTTTATTAATTTATTTCTGGTATGATAGAATGACCAATGAATAATTGATTTGAAAGGACAATATAATTCAAGAAACTGACCTACCAGGGTAGCCAGTTCTTGGGTTGAGATTCGAACTGATGACTGCCTGAATGAGAAATCCGACATTCTGGTTATACTTGCAGTAAATATGATAGTTCATCCACGTGTATAAACAATTTGCAAAAAATATGAGTAATTGGTTTGTGCTTCCTGAAATGTTAGCACGAAACAGCCTTGACGTTCATCAATGAAGATATTAATCTACTAGCTGATATTGCCTTTGAGTTCTTGCACTGTCGGAGCAGGCAGCGTGCAGACATCTCAGGGGAACATCCTGCCTCCATCATCACATCAATACGATGATACCGGAAGACTATCATACACTTTACAAATGTCTTAAACACCTATCAAATGAACCTCAGAGCAGGTCTGGAGAGCAATTTGGCTCGCTGTTATAACCCAAAGAGGGCGAATGGATATTTGGCTAGAAACAGAACCAGACCCCACGCAATTATATTAATTAATCAGACATTGATATCAGATCTATAGCGTAGGTTAACCAATGGCCATTGTCAGAATATAATTCTCCTTACTCGTGTCTCGTATGTTCAGCTGTTGGCTGCACTGGCTGATAATTTTCGTGTTTAACCTTAAAATTCTTCTGCGTGTGTCATAGTACCTTATAACACACCACGAACACTATTCCACGGTTCCCAGCTCATCTTACATAACCACCTTTGCACCTCACCTGATGCTACGGAAGATGAGAGGTTGACTTAAAGCAATAAAATTTCCCACAAGAACCTCAGGTGGTCATGTTACATAACGCGAGTACTGCAACCTTTAAAAAATTCGATCCAAACAACCATTATCATTCCACGTGCTTCTGGAATGGATGGATTTTTGTGATGACTGTACTTTGAGCCGGGAACGAATCTAATTAAGCAAAGAGGTCACGCATCTCCAGTGAATTTGACCGCTAGAAGCTCTTGGCAGGTTTACGACCATCAACCAGCCAGCCATCTGCTCAGATAACATTGTCGAATGGAGGGAGAGCAGGGTTTGATATCCTCCGCCAGCTGACGGAAACGAATCTCACCGAAATTATACATAAAATTCAGTCCGTACCGCGAAGAAAACACAGTAAGAAATCAGAATTGCATTAATAAAAGAACTTCCAGGTTCTTTAAATTCAGTAAATAACACCTCAAATCGGCACAGAATATTTTAATTTCCTTATTACTATTTAAAACTTAAAATATAGGTCCACACAATTACAATTTTTCCTTCTGTTCTGTGTGCTCCAGTGACTCGACACATTAACCTAACCAACGTCCTCAATCTGTGACCAAAGAACGGAAAAAAATCATAATTCGTGATCTTCACCTGATATTAAGATTATCAAAACAAAGGAGAATGAGATTGGCGCGGCATGCAGTACGCACGAGGTGATGAGAAAAGCTTATACAATTTCAGTATTAAAACCTGCAGAGGAACAGATCACTTGGGTGGGAAACTTACATTGGGGATAATATTAAAACGAATCTTATGTAGAATAAGATGGTGGTGACTGGATTCAGCTGCCTCGGGATAGGAACCTGTGGCGGTCTTCTGTGAACACGGTAATGGACTTTCTTGTTCTACAAAAGGCAGGGAGTGTCTTGAACGTATAATAAACTTCTCGATATGGAGTACGCCACAGTCTTCTTTCTTGGGGTAGGTTTGGTGTCAGAACGGCATACACTGCTTCGCTCTTAGTTACTTAATAACGCTATAATATCATACTTTATGTGTTTCGTAATGAAGATGGACTGGCGATATCGTAGGTGGGGTTAAGGGATGGACGAAACCCCACCCCCACGGATCTGATCACTTTGCCACCCACACAGAGTGCGCTGAAGACGTCTTGAGAATTCCCTCCTGAACTCCACACTCCTCGATCTCCAGTCTTCTTCTCATTACTATTTCCTTTTCTTGGAACCTGCTGGTTCGTAGAGCTTGAATATCAGATTAGACGCTAACTTCTGTGGGCGTCTTCGGAAGACCAACTTGTTCTGAGCTTGCAGGACTTCGTTAGCTCTCCACATCCAATTTATTACGTCTTAAGGTTCAATCTGTATATGTAAGTCATATAGGACACACGTTTTGAGACGGACATAAAAAAATCAGCTATAAAGCCAAACTACAAGGCAAAAAATAAGATCAATTAAGACTGCACTGCTCCATGAAATGTGGGGTAATCGTTCCGGATAGACGCTTGAAGTTCCAAAAGGAACATCTTCAGTACACGCGTTTGTATGCATTTTGTTTTTGCAATTAACGCTTTAAAGCCGAAGCACGCCTAAATAATATATCAAAATTCAGTCCATACCACAAAGAAAACAGTTTCTCATGGGTTTCGTGTGATTCTCATTATAAACAGCGATTATCTCCTTAAACAGCGTTAACCAGTTGATCTTTGTAATGGTGAAGAGTTGTGTTTTCTTCGCGGTACGGACTGAATTCTTAAATATTATTTAGATACCTGGCTTTCGTGCGATTCTCAATGTAAACAGCGATTATTTCCTTAAACAGCGTTAACCAGTTGATCTACGTAATGGTGAAGTGTAGTGTTTTCTTCGCGGTACGGACCGGATTCTTAAATATCATTTAGATACCTGGCTTTCGTGCGATTCTCAATGTAAACAGCGATTATTTCCTTAAACAGCGTTAACCAGTTGATCTACGTAATGGTGAAGTGTAGTGTTTTCTTCGCGGTACGGACCGGATTCTTAAATATCATTTATATGCGAAAAAAATTCATTAATAGATCAACCTCTGTCCATTCTCCACTTTTCATCTTTACCTTCAGCATTTCCAAAGGCCTTACCGTCACTAAACCTACGTTTACCAGAAGGACGAGCGGGCAATGCCTGGGCATCTTCTTGGCCGTAAATTTAATTTTTGTCTCCCTCCCCCCCACCCGTTAAATGTAGTGCCTATCGCCACTCCCCATTCTCTTATCACTTCCTCTTTGTACGTTCTTTATTAAGGTTTCTCGAAACAAGACGTAAATATCAGGACACAGAATTCAAGGGAAAACAGAGAAAGTGGAATAGATTTAGAACACTGCAACTTCAAAGCTTCTAAGTATCGTGTGAATTACATCATTTGCGTCGTATTTATTTGTGATGAGCAATCAGGCGCCGTGCCTCAAGATCTGAGGCTTGGAAGTGAATAAGTGAACCGCACTCTCACCACAGAAGGCGTCAGAATCCGCGTAAAGAGAGGGAGGGAGGGGGTTCTTCCGGCAGGAGCATTATATTTCAAAGGCGACAAACAAGGGGGTGAGGAAACACAGTCTTTTGCTCGACAGCGCTAAAATAGAAACTGATAGAATTTCGGATGAATTCTTTTTTACAGCTGAACAAAGTAAACAAATCGAAAGCATTTCTGAACATTTCTGGACACAAACTGGATAAATGATAATTATTGACAAAGCTTCTTCTGAAAACTTAAAGGGCGAGTAGATCTTGCGTTCACCTATTCGTGTATTTATTTAACGACGCTTTTCAAGAGCATTAATTATATATGATTGTATCTGCCATGCACAAATTTGTATCTGCAAATCATGAAAATGTTTAAAAATGATGAACGGAAAACAGGTGCGAGCATCCTGTAGGAACTATCCCAGCATTTGCCAGAAAGAACTAAGAAAAGCCAACAAAATTCTTTCACATACCACCGTAGTTTCGTAACCTAGGCTAAGTGCAACATAAACACGTACAATCAAAATATTAAGAAGCAGGCGGCTAACCGTCTGAGCTACGGCGCGGCCTAATAATCGCCGTATAATTCTCGATTCCCCTGCTAGCACAAAAGTTCCTTTCTCTGTCAGGCATGTTGCCATAGTTACAGGGGACACGCAGACGCCCCCTGTAAGCTCGGACTATAAGTTCAGCTTAAGGGCACAAGGGACTTATTAGCCGTCCCATAAACTTAACTAGAACGTGGTCTTGAAGGTCTAGGGTTCGCTTCCAATTTGTACCGAAGACAATTTCTAAATTCACCTTAAAAATTTTTCTATAAAAACATGAAATAAACTTCAGATTCATTTCTTACTTGTAACTGACGTTCTGTGAGGTAAAAAAAAAGTTCTGACGGTGGCGAATCCGGTAGCAAGACCTAAGAGAGAATTCTTTGAACCTTAAGGTGTGGAATCTCTTGGCCAGATAAATAGGCTGACAGGAGCGTGTAGTTGGACCCTATTCAAAGCCATATGAACGTACTTCGTGACCTCCCCGTCTTTGTTGTAACATCCGTTTTAATATTATCCTCCACTCACCGAGGTCCCACTGATCGTCGTTCCTCTGACGCTCCTTGTCGGCCACGACGTACCACACGCAGGCGAGCCAGTGGGCCACCAGCGTGAAGGACAGCATCAGGAGGGTCAGGATCATCGCGCTGTACTGAGAGTAGCGATCCATCTTCTGCAGCAGGCGAGCGAGACGCAACAAGCGTGTCAGCTTCAGGAGGTGGATGTGCGAGGGCCCTGACTCCTGCAACAGCACCCAGGGTCAG